CTGGGGATCCTAAGATCATTTGGGAAACTTAAAAATTCAGCGCACAGGTTATACCCCAAGCCAACTCAGTCAGAATTTCTAGGTCTAGGACTCTGGCATGAGTGTTTTTTCCCTCGGCATACCTGGGGTTGAGGACAGCTCTAGGGTAGCTATCCCAGAGCTGCCGGAACTAAGCTTCAAGACCCCCTGGTTCATTGCATGGACCACCTGCACCTGGTCTCCCTTTCCAACCTCTCCCAACGAAGTCCTGAAATAAAGGGATGAGTGACAGGGTCGGGAGTGGGGTCAGCACAAGGTGGGAGGGGTGAGGCTTACAGAGCCCAAGCATGGGAAGGAGGGCTGCTGGACATGGGAGATAGACTCTCGGAGCCCAGGTAAACACAGATGAGCAACAAGGGTGGAACAGGGATCTCTTCTAGGAGGGGGGCGAGTGCGACCCGAAGTCATGCATGGGACTCACCAGCAGCTCCCACAAAAGCAAGAATCAGGAGTGGATTCATCATGGCAGAAGTACAGGAGCTGAGTGGCTGGTGGAGAGCCTTTATACCTCCCAAGGTGAGGGAGAGAGTGGACGTGAGAGTGGAGGATCGCCGCTCCTCCCAAACACACCTGTAGCTTTCCCTTCCCTCAGCCCTGTGTCAGCTCTGTTGTGTTTGGCCATCTATGGATTTGTGACCCACAGGTGATAAGAAAACTTACCTTGTGAGGGCAGAGAGGAAGACCAACGGACTCCTGGGAGGATTCTGGGGTACGGGGAAGAAGCCAAGCCCCCATATATCACAGCTGGTCCTTCTTAGTCTGAGATGAGAAGAGGAGGAAGAACAGCCGGGTTCCTCTGACATGGAGATTTATTCAACTTACTCTAAGCAAAGGCTGATCCTGGAAGCAAACCTGGCTGCCAGTGACTGGGAGCCCCCATGAGGAGAGAGAAGTCTTGTGTCTGTAAGCATGAAGACCCTTCTCCCAAGTCGAAACCACTGGGCAGGAAGGTCACATCCAAGGCTTTGGCGAACCAGGATCCCACTGTCAAGAGGGGATGAGAAGGGAGAGGCAGAGTTTTGTGGGGGTCTGGGCTTTCAGCTGGCTTTCCTTCCCACCAAGGCTTGTGGACAGGAGCACTTGGAAAGAGGAGTTAAGTGGGCATTTGCCTGATACATTTGGACGATGGAAGCCCAATACCACATCCTTCCTCTTCCTCAACTATTAGGATCTTCGTCTTTCTCATCACTCACACTGTTGTGGGTTTCTTTAAGCAGCCTCCTGGTTGCCCTGGGAGTCTGCACCAGTCGTGATTAAACTGCCCCCACCTGCTAGGGGCTGAGAGCCTGAGCTCCGATTGTATACTCCAGATCACACATTAGAAAGGGTCTGGACAATGGTAAATTTAGGTTCTGATCAGAGAATCAGCAGTAAGTAGAGAGATTACCACATAGTGAAAGGGTGGAGTATTTGGTAATCATTCACAACAATGAAAGGGGGGGTATTCTGGAATGTTCTATTTTAGATGCAGTGGGACTATTGTGCTGGGCTCAGTACAGAGTTAATCTTCCCAGAAATGACCTCAATTTGGGACCCTCCACGGCCACCAAGACACAACCCTGTAATTTATTGAAGCACAACTTGGCCAGAGAGGAATAGAGGTGGAGCGAGTGTCTATGTCTTGGAAAGACACTTCTCCTTCCCAGCTCCTCTGAGCTCTGGGGTGGTGAAGGGCCAGAGGGCGCACAGTCCACATTTGAATTCTCTGAAAGGTGGAAATGAGTGGATGTTCTGGAGGTGGTGAACAAAGTGAAAAAGGCCCAGAAGTCTGGCGATGAGACAGGAAGTAGGATGGGGATTGAAGTAAATGAAAACTAGGAGAAGCTGGAGAAAATGCCGCTGTGGGGCTCACGGGGTTGGGAGGGGCCCGTAGGATGTCTTCTTCCAGTGCCTGGCATGGCTGGAGGCTGGTGTCCCCACAACAGGAGAGCCACTGCCCAGAGCTCTGGCCTCTCGGATGGTACCTCTTCTCATCCTGATGGGCTCACACCTCCGTGGGAAGGTGCTATATTTGTACCATGCCTGACATGCTTTTAACAAGCCTTCACACACACAAACAGTGGTATGCTTATCCTCATTGGCATTGAGTTTTGAATTTGACTGTTCACAAGTGTTTTAATGTGAGACAAGCAGAATGAAATTATTTCCATTTATAGAGGAAGAGACTGAGAACCAGCAAGGTTCTGTCCTGCCCGCGAATACAGATCTAAAAATGGCAGAGGTGGCCTCAAGGCTACCGGAAGATGTGGACAGCGTTGGAAGTTTGGGAATTGGTGCAGATGCCATATAAGAGAAGGTTTATTTGGAATCAAGCCAGAAGTTCCCAGAGAACAAAATGTACCTCCCGGTCCCTCCTGATGCTTGGCTCCCTGGCAGAAATACAAGATTGAATGAATCTTCCACTTGGCACCTGGTCTCAGAGCTTGACCTTGCCATGGCCCTGTTCCACTCTAGGCCACAGCTAAGGAGCGGATGACATGTCTCTCTGTGCTCATGGGGAGCTGACTCGGGTTGTGGAGCCTCGATAATAGAGGCTTTCCCTGTAATGTCACCAGATATGCTATTTAGTTTTGTCCCTTTGTCATGGGGTGTTCTAGGAAGTCCTGTGGTAGCAGATAAGAGGAATACATAGCAGTGTTCCCTGGATGGGTACACTATGAGGAGGTGGTCCTTGGTAGAAGATAGGAAATTGGGGAATTGGGAGGAAATTTTTGGTTAGGTGTTTGTGGCTTTGACTCTGTCTAAAAGGGAACACCCAAGAGCTTGAGGGTTTTCCGTGCCTAAAGCCTTAAGACTAGCTTTTGCCTGATATTTTGTGCTCCTCCTCAGAATAAACTATTATACCCAAAATATAGTATGAAGCCAGTTTTCTTGAACGTAGCAGGGATCACTTTATAGGCAGAGAAAATAGCTCTAAGTGAGAGTATGATGTCACGCTTTAGGCTCAGACCTGTAGGATGGATTCAGGTCTACCTTTTCCCAAGTTCAACTGGATAAGTCTATGCAGCTCTTATGATCTTCATTCTGAACCATTTCTCTAAGAGAGTCTCGTAGTTCATTAACGATTAGCCTATCAGACCACTGGGTTTTGTTTTTGTAAATATATATTTATTTATTTATTTGAGACAGAGATAGAGTGGAGGGGCTGAAAGAGAGGGAGCAGACTCCTCGCTGAGTGCAGAGTCAGACTTGGGGCTCAATCCCAGCACTCTGAGATCATGAGCTGAAATCAAGAGTTGGCCGCTTAATGGATTGAGCCATCCAGGCACCCCACCACTGGTTTTTAATTATGATAGTAGTGAATAGTTTCTTCTTGCTTACTATACCAAACATTGCCTAAGTCTTTCATGGATCTTTTTTGACTTTATTTTAACAACCACCTATGAGGTTGCTCATTTCATAGATGACAAAATGAGCCTTATAGAGATGGAGTAACTTGTTCGAGATCACACAGCCAGTACGTTGTAGAGATGGGATTTCAGCATGATAGTCGACTCTAGAGTCTGCCTGCTCTCTACCGGAGAACATTCAGCTTCCCTTCTCCTTGTTTGATCCCCAGGGCAGCCCCATGAGGTAGGCAGCAGCGCTGCTTTCTCAGCACTGGGTGTTGTATGCGAGTGAGGAATCACTAAATTCTACTCCTGAAACCAATATTACCCTCTATGTTAACTTGAAGCAAGCAAACAAAGAATCTGAAGCTCAGAGGTTAAGTGACTTCTCCCGGGTCACCTGGTTGATGAACGTGGAGTTGACACCAGGCCCTTTCCCTACTCAAACTAAGTTCATTCCCCATAGTGTTGCTCCACACTGGGGGCTTTTGGACCTCTCAGTGGTCTGAAAAGTAGATTTTGGTCAGATTCCAGATCACTTGTTGTTGTTGTTGTTTTTTTTTTTTTTAACACTTTCACCCCAAGCCCCTCACTATTGCCCCACAACTCAGGTATTTCTCCTCCACTCATAGTCAACTCCACCTTGGGCCCCAGTGTCCCTCACTGCTCTTCAACCACATTGTCAGATTCTGAGCTGTCTTTTCTCCAACCTCCAGCTCCTTTCCTCCATTATTTTTTTCTAAACTACATATTTTCCCCATGGCACAATTTCTTCCTGTCCAGTAAGAACTGCTTTCTTGACTCTCTGAGCCTGGGAATCACTGACTCTGGATAGTGAAGGGTGGATTTGTGTGGTCCAGAAAAACACACTGAGACAGAGGTGTGGGCGTGTCGACTGGCCACGGTTGTTTGGCTAAAGGGGGGCATCTGCCCTTTTTCTCCCCCTCATCCCGCTCCCCACCTTGAAGCCAAGGGAGACAGGCAAGTGTTGTGCCCAGAGCAAAGTTCCATTTGCATATTTTATCTATCCCTCAGACTTGAGGGGTGAGTGGGAAGTGTCTGGCAATGGAGGCTTTAGCACTCTGACAAAAGACTGGTTCCTGTGATGTAACGGTCTTTCTGTTCCCATCTCCATTACTCCATTACTTGTCCCATCCCTGGGCCTCTTAAATCTGCTTAAGCGGCTGCAGCCTCTTCTGGAGGGTAGTAAGTGGAAGAAAGGCAGGAGAGAGTCCAAGAGCAATATCCATGTGGGTTGTTATTAGTGTAGTAGCCCTGACTTATTCCATGATACTCAGAGTTTAATAAATGACATGCATATTTATTTTTCTAAATCATATTAGATCCAGATTGAGCTCCATAAGCCAAATTCAGGAATAAGTCCAACCAGTCCATTGGGCTCTCTCTGCTCATTTGACTTCTAAAAACTCTAGAATGTGTTGTCCATTTGGAAGGCAGCCACTGGTTAGTCCAATTCCTATTGGTCAGCCTGTCCAGGAGGATCGCCAAATGTCTTCCAAGGCTTGGCATTGAGTGCTCAGTCCACACAGGCATCAATACTGTTCTAATCTGAGGACCCTCCACTGCAGGGCTACTGTGTTTGAGCAGGTTCTGGGCTTAGCTCTCTAGAACCCATTAACATCTTTTCCCTTCCCCAGCCATGGGAATGCAGCAGAGGGAGCTGACACATTGTTGGGCCACCTTTCTATGCAAACATAAGTCGAAACACCTGTTCTGTCCCCATTAGGACAATTCGGTTCATTTGCTTATGGGCTTACATTGTCTACAGTCAAATACTTTTGTAGACTTTTTCTCTGGGGAAATCCATACTGCTTGGCAAATCTTCCCCTTTTGTTTTGAATCATATTTATGTACTCAATGTATTAGTTTGCTGGTGCTACCATAACAAAATTAGCACGGGCTAGGTGTCTTAAACAATAGAAATTGACTTTCTTCCAGTTCTTTTTTTATTTAAAGATTTTATTTATTTATTTGGCACACAGAGAGAGAGATAGCGAGAGCAGGAACACAAGCAGGGGGAGAGGGAGAAGCAGGCTTCCAGCCGAGCAGGGAGCCCGTTGCGGGGCTCAATCCCAGGCCCCTGGGATCATGACCTGAGCTGAAGGCAGACGCTTAACGACTGAGCCACCCAGGCGCCCTGACTTTCTTCCAGTTCTGAGAGCTAGAGCTCTAGGATCAAGGTGTCAGCAGGGTTGGTTTCTCCTGAGAACACTCTCCTTGGCTTGCAATGGCCTTCTCACCATGTCCTCATGCGACCTTTCCTCTGTGGGCACAACCCTAATGTCTCTCCTAGGATGTCCTCATCTCTTCTGAAAAGGATACTGGCCAGATTGGATTAGAGCCACTCTAATGGCCTCATTTTTAAGTTAAAGACCAAATCTCCAAATACAGTCACACCCTAAAAGAGTGGGGCTTAGGACTGTAATTGCATGAATTCTGGAGGAGCGCAATTCAGTCTGTAACCCTCAGTAAACACTGGCTGAATTCCTGTGATGTCCCTGCAGGTTTTCCAGGCTGTAAGGAAACAGCAATGAAGATGATAGGAAATGTCCTTGCTTTCATGGCATTTATGTGTATTTTTGTGTGTGTCCACACGCACGTGAGGAGGCGTAGTGACAGGAAGCGGATAATAAATAAGAATATATATATTATGTGTACAGAGTATATATATTTATATCAAACCATGGTGGTTAGGTATTATTAAAACAGGATAAAGTGGTAATAGGCGTGAGTGACGGCCAGGTTGACACGTGCTGTATTAGCTAAGGTGTCAGGAAAGATCTCTTTGGGGAGATGGTATTTGAGCTGAGACCTAACTACAAAGGGGCCAGTCATGTAAAGGGAGGGCTTTCATATTCCCTGCTGAGTCTGTAACAGAAATAAATCAGCACACATGCCATTGCTTTTCTTTTAAACTAAACAACCCTGCCCTCTAGCATATGATATTTACCTTGCTTAGTTTTGATGGTAAAATTGATATAAAGGATAGTCATCAATATATTGAAATTGTCCTATAAAAGTTAATGTAAAGTATATTTAAAAAATATTTTTTGTTAAAGATTTTATTTAGTTATTTGAGAGAGAGACAGAGACAGAGAGAGAGAGAGAGAGAGAGAGAGTACAAGAGCAAGGTGAGGGGCAGAGGGAGAGGGAGAAGCAGACTCCTCGTTGAGCAGGGAACCCGATGCAGGGCTCAATCCCAGGACCCCAGGATCATGACCTGAGCTGAAGGCAGATGCTTAACTGACTGAGCCACCCAGGTGCCCATAAAGTCCATTTGTGACATGAAATGGTATTTATGAAATATTCTTGGGTTGAGAGAATAAATAATAAAACAGTATGTATCATATGATCTAATTTTATTTAAATGAGTGATTTCAATTTTTACAATAATACATATTGACTTTGTAATTAAAATAGCTAAAGGAAAGAGAAACAATGGCAATAATAAATGAAATTTTCCCAGAGAGGGCAATACCTAGCCTTGAGGAAGGAATTGCTAGTGGTAAAATTTCAAATATTACAGTGAGAAAGAAATTTAGGCAGTGTTAAATTAACCGTGTGTTTTGTCTCCACCAGGCACGGTATTATGTGTTTTAGGTGGATGATTTCATCTCATTCTTAAAACAAATTTCTCGTTCCTCATTTTTTAATTTTGTGATTATCCTCATTTTATATATGAGGATAAATGTAATGAATCTGTGACACCCAGTGGTAAAGCAGTAGAACCAAGGTTTTTTTTGTTTTTTGTTTTGTTTTGTTTTTAAGATTTATTTATGGGACACTTGGGTCGCTCATTTGGTTAAGCGGCTGCCTTCAGCTCAGGTCATGATCCCAGGGGCCTGGGATCAAGTCCTGCGTTGGGCTCCTTGCTCAGTGGAGAGTCTGCTTTTCCCTCTGTCTGTCACTTCCCTTGCTTGTGCCCTCTCTCTTTGTGTCAAATAAATACATAAAATTAAAAAAAAATTTTATTTATTTGAGAGAGAGATAGCGAGTGGGGGGGCAGAGGGAGAGGGAGCATCCTCAAGCAGACTCCCTGCTGAGTACGGAGCCGGACTCAGGGCTCAATCCCAGGACCCTAATATCACGACCTGAGCTGAAGCCAAGAGTCGGCCACTTAACCAACTGAGCCACCCAAGCGCCAAGTTTTAAACTTAGGTCTGCCAGATGACGGAGACCAAGTTCCTCTCACGATACTGTACTGCTTCTTAAGAGACAATTTTTCTGCAATATCAGGTGCTGGCATTCTGAGGCTTATCTGTAGGTGAATTTGTAGGCTTCTTAGCCTTAAAATCTTTTTTTTAAAAAAGCATATTGGGTCTGTTACAACTCAATTGCTTGACAGAAGCAAAAATAAATATTTCCTGGAAAACAATGAAGTTGTTTCTTTAAGGAATTCCCAAAGATGAGTTATGTAATGCACAACATCAAATTATATAATACATAAAAAAATAAGCCACCCTGAGTGACAATCAGCAGAAGGTACAAAGAAACAAACAAAAAGATGCAAAACATCGTCTGGCATTAACAGATAAAAATTCCAAGCAGACATTTAATATCCTCAAAGAAAATAATTTAAAAATACACAAGGGGCAAGATGCTTTCAGAAATGACCGCCCATATTTGTAAAAGATCCAAGTAGATTTACCAGAAATGAAAATATAATTTAGGGTTGAATGGCTTATTGGAACAGAGGAGTGAATTAGTAAACTGGCCAGTAGTTCCAAAGAAAGGACCCAGAATGTAGTACAGAAGCAAAGAGAGAGAAAATGCGAGAGAACAGTCTAGATGAACATGTGACAGATGTCTCGATGACCCCAGGACATCTCCCCTCCCATAAAATGTGAACATCCAGATTTACGGGCTCAAGTTGTGGCCCTTGAGAGGATTTCCCTTCACCACTCCCTTTCGAAACCACACTTGCGTTAGACTCTGTGGATGATTCCGGAGTGACGTGCAACCCAATGCAGAAAACAGGCCTGTGCTTTTTCACCTGGAAATAGGAAATCCCCATGCACCCTTGGGTGTGGATCAGCAGTGAAGGCAAGTGGGTCGGGGTGGGTACCATGAGACTCACGCTTGCTTTTGAAATAAAATTGTGCCTTCCTCCAGCTGTGCTTGAGTCTGGTCCCATATATTTACCAGTTAATAACAGAATACTCTGTGCATGTCCAGCCTTATAGATTTGAGGGTCAGCTAACACACAGTTTGAATGTCATGATGATGCATTAAATCAAGACCTAGGGGCAGCTTTTCAAAGGAAATGAAGTTGTTGGCAGGTAGAAGAGTGTGGCTTTGCACTAAAACTCTTTGCATCTGCTTAGTGATTCTCTTATTGGGGAATGTCAGGGGCTCCACAGAGAATCCCTATCTGCCACAGGCACTTGAAGAACCACTGGGCCGGGTTGGTTTATGGCCCAGGGCAGCTTTAATCACGCCTTGTTCTGCTACAGAACCCCCTCTCACACTGCCCCAGCCTTACAGGTGACACAAAAAATGGACCACAACTATAGTGTATGGTAACTCCAAAGTCCAGAGAGACTCACTAAGCATTGCAGCTCTTTCTACTTGGCAGATGGTGTGAGGTTCAGCAGCTCATCTCTCACTTTACAGGGTTTAATCCAACATGTCCCAGATCTTGGGCTACTCAGAAGCTCATCGATATGGCAGCTCCCTGAACTTTTGCAGACCTTACGTTGGTCTGGCATGCATACGTCACACTGAGGCATCACGAGCACTAATTCCTACTCCCTGAGAACACCCGGCATAATGCCATCGGTCTAATGGACCAGTACGATATCAAGGTGATCAAGAGCCTTCTATACTGATGGAAAGCAAGCTAAATAGAGTCTTGAGATAAAATAGTTAGAGGTCATTTCTGACCCTGCCCCTTGAAGGCAAACTATATCCGATGGTCTTTACCAAGTACTTCTCAACACTCTTGTGGAAGCAATTTTATCCTCAGCCTCCTGGTCGCCACACTTCCTGTGGTTCGTCCTGCAGTCTGTCCTGCAGATTCTCTCCCCGTGGCCAGTCGACCCATTCACACCCAGACCCGCTGACAAGCACGCGAACAGCTGGAGCTGTGGTTTCGCCCTGCCGGCCTGCCTTGACTGGGGCCTCGGGCTCATCTGGGTGGGAGCCGGGCCAGGAGGGAGCTAGCCGAGGTTCTTGCTCAGATCTTTGATCTGTGCTAGGCACTGTGTCTCCAGCACTGCAGAAGTAAAAGCTGCTGTCTTCGAGGCTCAGGTTGTTCACAGTCAGAGTGGAGAACATTAAGGTTGGGCGGCTGATGGGAAACTTGTCTTTGGTAAATCCACTTTCATAAGTGGCCTCCATGCCCTGGTTTGCAGTTGCGATCAGTATCAAGCTCTGTCTTGGGAGCTGACGGTACCAGAACATTAAGGCGAGTTGGGTATCGACCTCACACTGGATCGTCATGGAGGTCCCGCGTTGACAGATGTCCCTGCGTGGCTTTTGAGAGAGGAGAGCACCAAACACAAAGCCTAGTTTCAGAGAGAGAGAGAGAGAGAGAGGGCTGATAAGCTGGTCCCCAGGCAGGAAGGTCTTTTTACTGTTTGCTTCAGTGTCACCTCGGATCCCAAAGAACTCTGGCATTGC